GTCTAAAAGGAATGCTGGTCAGAGGAAGATGAAGTATGTGCACTTCAAACGGCACAACAGGAAGGATCTCTATCAACCGCCGCCAACTTCACAGCCATCCTCTACCACTCCAGAACCGGCACAGGAGGTGACACGCTTTAGGACTCATGAAGAGTGGAGGAGGAACGCACTTGCATCACCAATGGCAGAACTTTTCAAATGCCCTGGGAATAGCCTTCTGCAGCTCTGCTTTAATGCAAATACCTCCTCCATCATCGAGCCATCACCATGTCCAGGCCTCCATCTCCTAACCCATGATGAGCACCACACACCACTGGCTTGTGTAAAATGCAGAACCTTCTACGATAAATACATTAACATGTCCACAGCCCAGCTTGAGGAAATTGAGAAGGTTACAAAATCACAGAGCAAAGAACAGGTCTGGCATGATGCACGGAGAGTGCGCGTCACAGCAAGCACGGCTAAAAAGGTGCCCGCTCGCTCAACCACGGCGCCTGACAAGTTTTTGTCAGATCACTTACACCCATCCTTCCGTGGTAATGCCGCAACCCGTCAAGGAGCGGAGGGGGAGGAACTTGCGAGGGACTATTTGGAAACTCTGGGCAACAGCATTGAAACCAAAGGCTTAGTGGTGTGCGAAAAGGAACCGTGGCTTGCAGCATCTCCCGATGGAGTGATAAACAAAGACATTCTGTTGGAGATCAAATCACCTGTGATTGGAAACAAGTCACTTGCAGAATTTTTGGCAACAAAGAACTGTGAAATCACAACTGTGGCAAACATAGATAGAGTAGATTACCATATTGCCTGCAATGGTCCAAAAGGCTACTACATGCAGGTACAAATTGGGATGCACTGCACAGGGCTTCAGCACTCCAAGTTGGTGATCTGGAACAAAACTGAGCACCTAGAAATTGAAGTACCCTACGACCAAGGCTTTGTCCAGGGGCATATCAAAAGGCTGCGCACATTCTACTTTGCCCACATGCTCCCGAAAATTGTTGATGATTTTGTTGAGGGAAGGTTACAGTTCTGCAGTAAATATCTCAGCATTTTAAAACCAAAATAAACTGCCTTATTTAGGTCATGCCCACAGGAGCAAACAGATGTTTGCCACTACTGTTTGAGTTAAAATAAAGTTTTATTTCATTTCATATATGAAATTTCATTTCATTTAATTATTGCACTGAACTACGATCATTAATTATAGGCTTTATGTTCCTTAGAGTGCTACAATTTATTTTAACACAGTTCATCATTCATAGTACGCTCATACTGTACATAAATGACACTGGATGAATTAATTGTTTTGAGTAAACTAAACAAATGGCTTCAACAAGAAAGATTGTGTGATTAATCCTAACAGGTATTAAAAAGTAAAATACAAAAGCAGCCCACACAATTACATCACCTTAAAAATATTCATATATAATAAAAAAATACAATGCATGAAGTATTTGTTGTATTTATCTGTATTTAATGAGCAACATGGCTGGGTGTTGGTAGACAAGGACACAAGGCAAAATTAAATCTCAGAAGGCACTCTGATCAGTGGACTCTTCAGGTTAACTAGGCCAGCACAGATGGTTAAGATGTTGTCCAGTTTCGGTGCCATGCTGATGGGGACGGTCTGGGATAAAATCTTAAAGACCTTCAGTCTCTGTATTGCTCTTTCCACGTGTATGCGGACATTGGCTACTCGCCTGGTGCGTGTGGTCTCCTCATTGGTCAACTGATTGCGTCTGTAGGTGAATGCAGGGATGTTCAAACGGACCTTTCTCTCATCAAGCAAGTCTCGAATGGTGAACCCACGGTCCGCCATGACCTCATCACCAGCCCTCAGATAGTCTAGGAACCCACTGTCCATGGTGATAAACTTATCGCTGCTTCTGCCAGCATAGGCATCAGATATAAACATGATTAGCCCATTAGGGGCCACAGCGACGAGATATTTCACAGTGTTGCGTGATTTGTACTGGCTGAAAGTGTCACTCCTTGAGTCGTAGTTTGTGGCTCTCTGCATGGCACTTTCGGCACAGTCAATGATGCAGGTGGTTCGAGGGTAGTTCCTCTGAAACGACAAGGGCATGGTGGCACGAATGGTCTCTCTTGGAAGCCAGGGGATCAGGACTTTGAACTGTTCACCCATCACGTCAATCCAGTGACTAATCACAATGCTTGCCATGGATGTAGACACATTGAAGCGATGAGCAATATCTCCTAATATTAGGTTTAGTTTTAGCTTCATCAAGGTCATCAGGATTTGGTCAACAACAGGAAGGGTAATTGATAGCTTACTGAAAGGCAACAACACTGTCACCAGGGTGAAAAATTGAACCATACGCACTCCTGTATACAGCCGGGAACTAGCATCATCAATGACCGTGGTGCTAGTCACAGTAGGACCCATTTCTGCCTCGCACTGTGTGGCCTTGTCTACTTTAACAGACTGTGTTGTTGAACAGTACATGTGGTCAATATGTGACGGATCCTCCCATTGGGTCTGGGCATCTCGAAATTTTGGTGTAGCAGGCTCGGCCTCACAGGCAGGCTGACAGGTTTCAGGAGCATCTAAAAAGGGGAAGAGAAAACATGGATGGAGCAAAATTAATTAAGGCATAGACCATTTCTTTTACTGTGCGTCTTTGTTCCTGCCAGGTAAAAAATACATTCCAGGAGAGAAACACATGATTGAATTGAAAGAAAAAGCACAATGTCTAAGAAAGTAAATAATAAGAAAAGTAAAATATAAATTTTTCCACAACACTACAAACATCACAATGGCAAAATTTGTATTACAACATTGCACTCACACTCACACACACACACACACACAAACACACTATCACAACAGCCTGCCACCTTGCATTGCATTTATGATGTAGACTGCGTTCACATGCTATGGGAAATATGATATTTCCCACTTGTGAACTGGTATTTACCAGTGTGTTGCGTTCAAGTGCTTTTGTTGTTGTAATGTGGTAAAAAGATGGCGATCCAGACCTGTTATTTAGCTAAAACTATTTTAGATTGCTTAAGTCATCTGCAACAGCAAGAAAATGATGCATCAAAACTCAAAAGGTAATAATAATAAAATAATATGCTATATATTTTTTAGATCATGAATAGTATATATTTTTACCATTCACGACTCTTGGGGTGCTCTCAGCCTTTTTGAAAAGTTCAAAGGTTATTTCATCTCGGCAACTCGTCCATCAAAATATTCTATGAGTTGCCCAGTGGAAAATACCACATGAGGGGTGTTCATGTGCATTTTCCACGTCGGCTTTTGGTATTTACCATAATTACCATCGCACATGAACGCAGCATAAGGCACACGCAGGCATGCACACACACACACACACACAAAATTAATGATGTAGCTATCGTGGGCATTGTTTGTCCCATATCCAAAACAATCAACTGCCTCAGCAAAATACCGGTAGCAATGTTAGTGTATGACAACTTGTTCATAATTAACAGTATTGTCAAATTCATAGCTAAATTTGCTTTACTTACCCTCAGATGCAAGTCTGCGTTTCTTTCTCTGGGTGGAGACAGTGGTCCGCTGGGTGAGTTGACGCCTCTTTGGCTGGGGAGGGCGATTGTATCCCAACCACAACTCTGGGAAAGGATTATCCTTGGTTGGTTTTTGGTCAACAAAGTGATAGGAACAAACAAAAACGATGCGGGGTGGTTTCTTTAGATTCAATGCCTTCAGCCAGGTCCTTGATTCCGAGTCGGTATCAGGCTTGCGAAAAAATGTAAACAATGGAGCGCATGGACATTGCCTCTTCGTAGCTGGTTTGTGGTCGTAACACTCTCTATCTAACCACTCGTTCAGGTGCTTTCGCGAGTTTTTGCACCCAACTACCGCACACGTCGTTCCCGAACCACTTTTATTCATGTTGTAAGTTAATTGTTATCCTCTTTGTCACTGCGATATCAGTGCTTTGTCGGCACAACGGAGCTAGGTAGCATTACCAGCCCGCCAGAACGGAAGTGGATTGCATAAACGGGAGGAGTTTAGGATGTAGAGCGGAAACGGCTCAAAAACTTGTGTATAGGACAAAAATAATATTCTAAGTTGGTCCCTAAAAGTTCTGCAGGAGGTTCTCAGAATGTTTTGGAAACATTGGATTTCTGAATTAAATATGGTCTTCTAAACGTTCCCAGAACGTCCTGAATGTTCCCTGAAGGTCCTCCAAATAACGTCCCCAAACCCTTTAAAGAACTCCACATCGAGTCTGTCTGGGAACGTTGTGGGAACGTTACCAGGCGACGTCCTTGACACCAGCGGGGACGTTCTCAGAACGTTCTGGGAACGTAAAATTTCTAGCTGGGAATCTACCGATAGATTGCAATTGCTAACGTCCTTTATACTCTAAATGAGCTTACTTGATTTTCCGCCATCACTCTTCGTTACTGCGCAAACTTCCGCAAACTTCAGGCGTGTGCATGTGATTGTAACGTGTGCGAGGGGTGGCGTGTGCCCGATCTGTGATTGACAGTCAGATCTCACACCCCCCTGCGCTGATTGGACATGATGATCCGGGAGCTGTGGATTTTTGCCAAACAAATAACACGCTCCAGTTAGAAGCTCGGTTTTTTTTCTAAAACCACTTTATTTATGTTGTTCTGTCGGATTATAGTGTCGATTTCACTGAATATGATAAAAAAAATTGCAGACGGCAGCTTTAAGTTATTGCATGAATTTGACTTCCTCTTATAGACCTCTGCCTGTATTACGATGCTGTTTTTTCTTTTGCCCAATAAACTCAGCACTGCAAATGAGTTGTCAGCCTCTTCCATGTTACAGTGTGGGGCGTGCAAAGTACATAGACATAAGCATAGTGATGTCAATCTCAGTCAATCAGATTCAACATACATGTACAGTAAATCACATAATTTTTTGATAGAGTTTAAGTTGTATTGAACAAGAAAACATTTCTTTAAGTGTGATCATAATGAAATAATGCAAGGAGTTTCTGGTCTCTTACTGTGAATGGCAGTGATGGTCTGTCTCCAGAGGATGGCCAGGGAATGTCTATAAAAAGGGAAGGGGGGGAAAAAGAGGAAAAAGTTAGAAAAAAAGAGAGTGGCTTCTTTAGGAAAATCTGTGTGGTGTTATTTAGAAAAATATGCCTCATAGCATTTGGGCTTTTGTGTTATTTAATGGTGTGTACCTGGACGCTTAACTGCATATAAACATGTTCAACCACTCTTACTCTCTATCTCTACTCTCACATACACACAAGAACACCTTCAGCTCTACGTCACTCACACACACACACACACACGCACACACACACACACACACACACACACACACACACACACGCACATTCTCTCTCATTATATCTCACTTTCAAGCAACACATACACACAAAAGCAGTGAGTCATCAGGCACATAACTGTGTGAGATGGAGGGGGAGGAAAATCTTCTCAACATGCCACATCTGATTTTTAGCCAACTCAAAAACAGACATGCACGTCTGCATGCACAAAAATTTTACACACACCCACACAAATGTACATGCCAGAGTTGTGCATTATTAAGAATCCATGAATTTTAATTGAGCTAGGTGATAAAAAAGATTCAGTATTGTAATTTCAATGTTACTTTGAGGCAGCAGAATAAAAGTGAAAGACATTACATTTTTAAAAATATATTTAATTAATCAGTACGAAGTACCCAAAGGGGGAAATGGACACCCCACCGCCAAGAGGGACTGTGCTAGTGTTGTCAAATGTTGAGCGCGTGGCCAATCAGAGGTTTTTAAGAATCCATACAAACTCTGGAATAGTCTTCCTAGCATCGCTTGGAAAGCAGACACACTGTCAGTTTAAATCTAGACTAAAATCACATCTGTTTAACATGGCATACACATCCAAGATACAAGATATATTTATTATCATATACACATTAAAGCACCACGGTTTTGACCAGACAATGAAATTCTTATTTCACTTGTCTTATTTCACCCATTTGTGTCTCCCTTACACAAAAACATACAATATAAATACAAACAGTGAAAAATGTGCATGACACATTATCACATTATTCTTTTTCAATTTTATTAAATGATTGCTACGCTGCATAAATTATGTCAGCTGGAGTCGGGAACACTTACTATAACACCTAGTGTACTCGTTACATCATAAGAAGAATGGCATCTACCCTAATACTAGTCTGTCTGTCTGATTCTTATCCCGAGGTTACCGTAGTCAGCCGGATCCGGGCCGTATCCAGATCAGATGGTGGACCTGCGTCTAGACACGACCACAACTAATGATGTAGTCAGCCGGATCCAGCCCGTATCCAGATCAGATGGAGGACCTGCGCCTAGACACGACCACAACTAATGATGTAGTCAGCCGGATCTGGACCGTATCCAGATCAGATGGTGGACCTGCGTCTAGACACGACCACAACTAATGATGTAGTCAGCCGGATCCGGCCCGTATCCAGATCAGATGGAGGACCTGCGCCTAGACACGACCACAACACATGATGTAGTCAGCCGGATCTGGACCGTATCCAGATCAGATGGAGGACCTGCACCTAGACACGACCACAACACATGATGTAGTCAGCCGGATCTGGACCGTATCCAGATCAGATGGAGGACCTGCGCCTAGACACGACCACAACTAATGATGTAGTCAGCCGGATCTGGACCGTATCCAGATCAGATGGTGGACCTGCGTCTAGACACGACCACAACTAATGATGTAGTCAGCCGGATCCGGCCCGTATCCAGATCACATGGAGGACCTGCGCCTAGACACGACCACAGCACATGATGTAGTCAGCCGGATCTGGACCGTATCCAGATCAGATGGAGGACCTGCGTCTAGACACGACCACAACTAATGATGTAGTCAGCCGGATCCGGGCCGTATCCAGATCAGATGGAGGACCTGCACCTAGACACGACCACAACACATGATGTAGTCAGCCGGATCTGGACCGTATCCAGATCAGATGGAGGACCTGCGCCTAGACACGACCACAACTCATGATGTAGTCAGCCGGATCCGGCCCGTATCCAGATCAGATGGAGGACCTGCGCCTAGACACGACCACAATGCATGATGTAGTCAGCCGGATCCGGCCCGTATCCAGATCAGATGGAGGACCTGCGCCTAGACACGACCACAACGCATGATGTAGTCAGCCAGATCCGGGCCCTATCCAGATCAGATGGAGGACCTGCGTCTAGACACGACCACCACTAATGATGTAGTCAGCCGGATCTGGACCGTATCCAGATCAGATGGTGGACCTGCGTCTAGACACAACCACCACTAATGATGTAGTCAGCCGGATCTGGACCGTATCCAGATCAGATGGTGGACCTGCGTCTAGACACAACCACAACTAATGATGTAGTCAGCCGGATCCGGCCCGTATCCAGATCAGATGGAGGACCTGCGCCTAGACACGACCACAACACATGATGTAGTCAGCCGGATCTGGACCGTATCCAGATCAGATGGTGGACCTGCGTCTAGACACGACCACAACTAATGATGTAGTCAGCCGGATCCGGGCCGTATCCAGATCAGATGGAGGACCTGCGCCTAGACACGACCACAACACATGATGTAGTCAGCCGGATCTGGACCGTATCCAGATCAGATGGAGGACCTGCGCCTAGACACGACCACAACTCATGATGTAGTCAGCTGGATCCGGCCCGTATCCAGATCAGATGGAGGACCTGCGCCTAGACACGACCACAACGCATGATGTAGTCAGCCGGATCCGGCCCGTATCCAGATCAGATGGAGGACCTGCGCCTAGACACGACCACAACGCATGATGTAGTCAGCCAGATCCGGGCCCTATCCAGATCAGATGGAGGACCTGCGTCTAGACACGACCCCAACACATGATGAAGTCAGCCGGATCCGGGCCGCATCCAGATCAGATGGTGGACCTGCGCCTAGACACGACCACAACACATGATGGAGTCCGCCGGATCCGGGCCGTATCCAGATCAGATGGTGGACCTGCGTCTAGACACGACCCCAACACATGATGTAGTCAGCCGGATCCAGGCCGTATCCAGATCAGATGGAGGACCTGCACCTAGACACGACCACAACGGATGATGTAGTCAGCCGGATCCGGACCGTATCCAGATCAGATGGAGGACCTGCGCCTAGACACGACCCCAACGCATGATGTAGTCAGCCGGATCCGGGCCGTATCCAGATCAGATGGTGGACCTGCGCCTAGACACGACCCCAACACATGATGTAGTCAGCCGGATCCGGGCCGTATCCAGATCAGATGGTGGACCTGCACCTAGACACGACCACAACACATGATGTAGTCAGCCGGATCCGGACCGTATCCAGATCAGATGGTGGACCTGCGCCTAGACACGACCACAACGCATGATGTAGTCAGCCGGATCCGGGCCGTATCCAGATCAGATGGTGGACCTGCGTCTAGACACGACCCCAACGCATGATGTAGTCAGCCAGATCCGGGCCGTATCCAGATCAGATGGTGGACCTGCGCCTAGACATGACCACAACGGATGATGTAGTCAGCCGGATCCGGGCCGTATCCAGATCAGATGGTGGACCTGCGTCTAGACACGACCCCAACACATGATGAAGTCAGCCGGATCCGGGCCGTATCCAGATCACATGGAGGACCTGCGCCTGGACACGACCACAACGCATGATGTAGTCAGCCAGATCTGGGCCGTATCCAGATCAGATGGAGGACCTGCGCCTAGACACGACCACAACGCATGATGTAGTCAGCCGGATCCGGGCTGTATCCAGATCAGATGGTGGACCTGCGCCTAGACACGACCCCAACGCATGATGTAGTCAGCCAGATCCGGGCCGTATCCAGATCAGATGGTGGACCTGCGCCTAGACATGACCACAACGGATGATGTAGTCAGCCGGATCAGGGCCGTATCCAGATCAGATGGAGGACCTGCGCCTAGACACGACCACAACGCATGATGTAGTCAGCCAGATCCGGGCCGTATCCAGATCAGATGGTGGACCTGCGCCTAGACACGACCACAACACAAGATGTAGTCAGCCGGATCTGGGCCGTATCCAGATCAGATGGAGGACCTGTGCCTAGACACGACCACAACACATGATGTAGTCAGCCGGATCTGGGCCGTATCCAGATCAGATGGTGGACCTGCGCCTAGACACGACCACAACACAAGATGTAGTCAGCCATATCCGGCCCGTATCCAGATCAGATGGAGGACCTGCGCCTAGACACGACCACAACACATGATGTAGTCAGCCGGATCCGGGCCGTATCCAGATCAGATGGAGGACCTGCTTCTAGACACGACCACAACACATGATGTAGTCAACCGGATCCGGCCCGTATCCAGATCAGATGGAGGACCTGCACCTAGACACGACCACAACACATGATGTAGTCAGCCGGATCTGGGCCGTATCCAGATCAGATGGAGGACCTGCGCCTAGACACGACCACAACACAAGATGTAGTCAGCTGGATCTGGGCCGTATCCAGATCAGATGGAGGACCTGCGCCTAGACACGACCACAACACATGATGTAGTCAACCGGATCCGGCCCGTATCCAGATCAGATGGAGGACCTGCACCTAGACACGACCACAACACATGATGTAGTCAACCGGATCCGGCCCGTATCCAGATCAGATGGAGGACCTGCGCCTAGACACGACCACAACACAAGATGTAGTCAGCCGGATCTGGGCCGTATCCAGATCAGATGGAGGACCTGCGCCTAGACATGACCACAACACAAGATGTAGTCAGCCGGATCTGGGCCGTATCCAGATCAGATGGAGGACCTGCGCCTAGACACGACCACAACACATGATGTAGTCAGTCGTATCCGGGCCGTATCTAGATCAGATGGTGGACCTGCGTCTAGACACGACCACAACACATGATGTAGTCAGCCAGATCCGGCCCGTATCCAGATCAGATGGAGGACCTGCGCCTAGACACGACCACAACGCATGATGTAGTCAGCCGGATCCGGGCCGTATCC